CTTTGTTAATGACCACAATGCAATGATACATGTCACATATCTACGAACAGGGTATTACTGTTTCTGAGAACAAGTTTTTTAATGATCATATTTGAAGTCTATTTTTATCTATTGCAACCTACTATTGCACCAGACTGAAACCGTTTATACCACTTTTTAGGACAACCTAAGAATCATATTTGGTCAAAATCCATCAAGTGGTTTCGAAGGAGTTGTTGTTTTACGAAAAAAATCGACTAAAGGCGGACACACTGTCATCACAATTTTAACTCACTTTTGAGCGCATAGTGCTACATTAATCTAAAACAACAAGGAGGAATAAGACGGCAGGGCTCACGCTGTCAGTCGCCATAGTCGCCATTTGCGATTATTTTATAAGATTGGCGATTATTTTTGCATTTTTGGCTACAAAATCGCGATTAATTTTTTACTTCCAAAGTGTTTTATATAGTAAGGTGTTAAAAATCGATACCAGAATTTCGGTAGACCAAGATTAAACCACCAGCGGGGAGATTTTAATTGAGTTTCACCGCTTTTTTGTCTATTCGGTCACGTTTTCCACACGGGTCATACTTGCTTTACGGGTTATTGTTGGGGCCTCACATCCGTTTTTTAGGCTAGAGGTGATGAAAAAATACAGTGCCCAGGTGAATAAAAATAAAAAATTTTCATGCTTTATGAAGTTGTAAAAATATAAAATGGAAGAAGATTTATCTTTTTGGGGTAAGTTTTCATATAAAAAGTATATTGCTGGAGGAACCCAACGTAAATTAATAAACGCATTCATTTAGAATAGTGCGCTCACACCTCTGAGTTATTCTAAAAAGGGATATTCGTGTCGCCTTGGAAAAACAATTTGAATATAACTTGGATTTTTTTGACTACGTCAAAACCTGAAAGTTTACTAATAACGGTGAATTATTGCTATGCATATATGCGACAAAAAATTACTGATTTTTTGTCCCTTTAAGCCCCCATGCTTGACTGAAGATCGTCATAGTGTGTATTAAATCATGATAAAATATTTTTAAAAAAGTTATTTACTTCCAAACAACTATTTTGTCATCAAGCACTCAAATTTTTTGTGAATATTTTTCTTCTTCAGAAAACAGAAGAAAAACATCCTGATTGTGCATTCACATGTTAATTATTTCTGCTTTTTGACCATTCCCACCCGGGGCAATAGAAGGCAAAAATGGCCGCGGGTTGGGGCGGACGACTTTAAAAAGGGTTTATTGAGACACTTCCAACCGATTAATTCTTGATCATATATTTATTAAATGTTGTTGAAAAATAAAGCTATGCTCTGTTTCTACTAATATTACTTTAACTATTATCCGGCGCAGTAGGGTATATAGTTTTTTTTGTTTAACATTTTGTCATTTTAATTGGGATGAGTTATCTCCTTCTTCTCCCAGTAAGCCGTTATTCGAAGGAAAAAAGGGCACCGGGCTGCATTCTGTGAATGAGTATTCAATTGTCGTTTTAATAACTTTCTCTATATAAATATTGGAATATTGGCCTAAGATCTTACCCACTCTCTATGTTTCTGTAATGGAAATGATGGAAATTGAGATAGAAATGAGGATCTTATTGATTGCGGACAAATAATATTAATATTAGAACAAAAACATAAAGTATAAATCCTGTCGGATCCCAGAAAAAGCATTATTTAAATTGGTTAGTCTCACTGACACTGGAGCATTCTTTACAATATAAATGTTGCTATATGAAAATGTAATATTCCAGTACCCTACATATACCATTTTTTATTTAATATATCTATTACATTATAATTGAACAAAATTGGAGACGCGTAATTGTAAGGAATCTCAATAAACTAGTGGTCACTGGTGAAAAAAATAGATGTGAGATATAAAGACCGGTGTTGGGAAAACACCATACCATGCGTATCTATTAAATAGATTTTTCACCTACATGTCCTTTTATTTTGTTTTTAGAAATTTAAAAGTTTTGGTTATTTATGAGACAAATCAATATTAGTCACCCGCCAAATCAACAAAGATAAGGAAAGATAGTTTATAAATTTTAGTTTAGAAAGATTTGAATTCTAAGTCAATGGGGCGTGGCGTTAAATTTGTGTGGAATCGCTAAAGAGTCTCGGCTCGCGACTCAGTTTTTTTAAGCCTCTGTTTTCGATACTTTGTTATTATATTTTTTCTTTTTTTTTTTGGTTAAACCTCACCTTCCCTCATTCATTTTTTTTTGAAAACCTCATTATATAAAAATATTTTGCTATCTATTTTATTTTGAGCAGTGTGAGCTCCTTATGACGGACAGTATTGGTACATGGCGAAAAATAGTGTTATGTAATATTGGGATTCTTTCAGGTTTTTGGTTTTTCTAAGATAGTCGGTTACAGATGATCGGGATGATTTAATCATCTGACACGGTTTTGTTATTTCTGCGAAAAATTCTCAAAAGGGAGTCGATGTGCCTACTTATTAGTTTTATATATATTAAGGTTTTTATTATGGCAATAGATAATTTATTAAAAATAAGAAATTTTACATAATTTTTATAGAAAAATATAAAACAAAAAAACTTTTTAGGCGGGTTCTGTGCACTAATTGACAAGTTACATATGAGAAATTCCTCAATCAAGCTTTGTTTTGGCTTTCGGTTAGTGCATAAATTGGTGTCAGATAAACAATAAGATCTATTTCTTCACCTTTTCTTTTTACATTTTCGACCGCACTGTTATTCTCTTGCTCGTAGGTGACAATTCGTATATATTACTTCATATTACGAAGTGTGAATAAATTATATGTCATGGACATAGATAATATAACGTCTTGGCTCATGCTTGGTGTGAAATTTGAAAAAAAAGAATTATTTTTCATATACTATATGTTTGAACATCTTTATCTCTTACATAACAATAAATGCCGGGGTCAGTTGGTAATAACATATATTGAATTAAATATACCAGAAATATCTTCGGAGTCAAACACATGCCAGGTCAAAGTTGGTCAACCCTTATCATCCATGTTTTAACCACACCCTATTACCATTTCCAATTAAGCATTACAGTCTTGACTGATATTATCAATATATATTGATTTACTTGTACGTGTATCTGCCCAACAAATGGGATATCATGAGAAGTTTGCACTTAACGTAAAATTGTGGAATAAATTCAACCATGAGATAATAATAGACCAAATATTAGTGATTCCTACGAACTGAAAAGAGATGCTGTCATCCAGTGTTGCGCCCACCGGCTACTGGATATAAAGTGATTGTTATTTTTTTATCATAAATTTAATACTCGTACAACCTCCTCTGATCATTTTAATATATCTCTTTTGTCTTTGTGACTCTAAAGTTGGTGCACATTTTGATATCCCTCAGCTATAATCAAAATGAGAGGGTTCATTCATCTAGTCCAATCAATATTGTGAAAATATGAAGAGTTGTGATTAAATAGTTTATATTTAAGCGATAATTAGAGCGTACTAATTATCACATTTAATACCCACTGAACTAATCAACATGCTATTACATTCATGATATCGTTGTTTATCCTTTTAAGAGAAGACAATCATTGTGTTATCCTTTAACAAAGAACATTATTTCGGAAAGCGCCAATACAATGTCTCACGACACCTTTGTAGAAGCGCACATCAGTATGATAATAGAAAACCATCATGGCACTTTAGGCTATTAAAGATGAATATAATACGTATTGTATAATTCAGCTATAAAAGCCAGAGAGGACCAACCTGTCATTTGCTATACTTAAACCGCCCTTACCGCCCTACTTTTATTTACTTGGTTAATGTTGAGAACTTTTTTTTCCGAAACCTTAATAAGTTGGCCTAGGAACCCTCTTTTTTTTGATCCGCTATACTTCTCCAAAATTAATAGGCCTCATTACTTTGTTGATGGCTAATCAGTATGAAACATGAAGACTTTGTGATGAATAGTTTTCAAGATAATCAGCGGAAACCATTCTTACATACAGCGCCCCTGTGACCTTAACCTTTGACCTAGTGACCCCAACATCAATAGGGGTCATTTTCTAGTTACGACCGATCAGTAAGTGAAACATGAAATTTTGTGATGAAAAGTATTCTATGTAATCAGCGGAAAACATTCTGACATTTAAGGTCCCTGTGACCTGGACCTTATAGCCCCAAAATTAATAAGGGGTCATTTACTAGTTATGACCAATAACTTTATGAAAAAGGAAGACTTTAAAAGGTGATAATTAAAACCATTCTTGTGATTTTCAAGATAATCAGCGGAAACCATTCTAACATTTAAGGCCACTGTGACCTTGACCTTCGACATAATGACCCCAAAATCAATAGGGGTCATCTACTAGTTATGACCAATCAGTATGTGATATATAAAGACATTGTTTTCAAGATAGTCAGCGGAATATTAAGGTCAATTTGACTTTGACCTTTGACTTAGTGACCCACAGGAGTGATTTACTAGTTATCCCTAATCAGAATGTGAAATACAAAAATACTTTGTGATATATAGTTTTCTAGATTATCAGCGGAAACATTGTGGTCTAGAGACCGACAGACACACCCATCGATCGACCGACCGACCGACATAAGCAAAACAAAAAACCCCCTCTTCTTCGAAGGGGGGCATACAAATACTTATGATCAACAATTATGGCGTTTCAGTATTACAAAAGTGTCTATTACGATGTAGTCACTTAGAGTACAATATGAATTTGATAATTATGAACGTTTTTGACAACGAGGCTAGTGATATATTAACTGAATTTGAAATAGATTATAATTTTGGGGGTTAAAAGCGATGCTAGATGGCGTAAAATATGAATTGATACAGAGAATAATAAGATTGGATCAAATAATGAATTGATGATATTAGAACATTATATGGTGCAAAACTGAAGTATCAATGGTTATATGTTGTAAGGGGTGAAGTACAAAAGAATACGTTTAGTAATATATACAGAAAACAAATTAAGTTATGTGAGTAATATCACTTACTTTGTTTAGAATCAATATATTCCTTTTTTTTCTCGTCTTTATTTGCTGTTTTAAGTCTTTTGCATAACGTCTCTCCTAATCCAGCCAGGTCTGCTCGTTCTTTTTCTCCTTGTTCATGAATTTTCCCAACTTCTTTGTCCCGTTCTTCATGCATTCTTTTAACAGAAGCATCAGCTTTATCTTTTAATTGTGACTGCAGAGATAGAAGATCTTGTTTTCTTTTTATCATATCTAGTTTAATTCTGTCATATTGCTCGTCTAATCCAGCCTTCATCTTGTCTTGAATTGCCTTTGCCACATCGTCTAGTACTTTTCTTACATCATCTTTACCAATGACTAAAGTGTCATTTTCTAACTGTAATTATAAATACAATACAAATATACAATATAAAATTTGAAAAAAGGTAAATAAATAAAAAAAATACAAAAAATAAATAATAAATAAAATGAACAAATAATAAGAATTAAATAATAAAAAATGTGGTAGTGGAAGTGGAAGTGAAAGTGGTGGTGGTGGTAGTGGCAGTGGTAGTTGTAGTAGTAGTAGTAACAGGACAAAGAATCGGTAGTAATTGTAGTAGTAGTATTAGTAAGTAGCAGTAGTGTGTAGCAGTTGTTATTGTAGTAGTGGTAAATTGTAGTAGTAGTTAGTAATAGTAGTAAGTAGCAGCAGTAAGTAGCAGTAGCAAGTTACAGTTGTAATGGTAGAAGTAGTAGTAGTAAGAAGAAGTTGTAGTAGTAAGAAGAAGATGAAGCATAAGAAGTTTAAGAAGAAGAAGAATGAGTAGTAGTAGTAGTAGAAGTAGTGGTAGTTGTGGTAGTAGTAGTGATAGTTGTGGCAGTGGTAGTAGTAGTAGTAATAATAATAGTAGTAGTAGTAGTAGTAGTAGTATAATTAGTAAAAGCAGTGGCACTAGAATAAGTAGTGGTAGTGGTGGTGGTGGTAGTAGTAGTAGTAGTGATGGTAGTTATGGTGGTGGTAGTGGTAGTAGTTGTTGTAGTGGTTGAAGTGGTAGTATTAGTGGTGGTGGTAGAGGTAGTGGTGGTGGTGGAAGCGGTAGCGGTAGCAGTAGAAGGTAAGTAGCAGAAGTAAGTATCAGTTGTAATTGTAGTAATAAGAATTAGCAGTAAGTAGTAATAGTAGAAGTATAGATGTTTACCTCTGTCAGTTTCTTTTTAGCATTCTGCGCATGCGTGTCTGTAGCTAAATATACTTTATCAGAAAGTAGATTCTGTAATAGTTTGAAGTAGTTTTGAAGATCTGTATCCTCTACTTCAAGTGTTGAGGAATGTCGTACTTTTCTTCCAATTTCTCTTGCCTGGTCAAAATTGAAAAACAATTTTTATTTACTTTTACTTAAAACCTATAGGTTGAGTGTAAAATACATACGTTTACTGTGAAACTGTTACGTTATACATGTAGTAAAATAATACTTACTAGGACTTGTATAAATAGAAAAATTACAAACACGATAAGAGCTGTGTTGAGCTGAAATGTCATAGCTAGAGGTGTGGTCTGCTAGGGGTGTGGTCTGCTAGGGGAGGGTTTGATAGAGGAGTGGTCTGCTAGATGAGTGGTCCGCTTGTTGCATTTACCACTGCCGTCTGCGAAGGGTCATTGTCATATGTCCCCGGGAGTATTAATAATGTTGTAGTGTTACGTACCAGTACCCCTCTTTAATACGATTTTGATATCAAAATCGATATAAAAATTGTTTCAAAAATAGACACTTCGTGACAAATTACTGAGGAATATAGGAGTGCTTGATTACAAGAAAATATCTAACAAAAAGAAACAAGAGGGCCATGATGGCCCTGGGGTCGCTCACCTGTACATAGGCCCCCAGGGGCGGGACTAGTTTAAACCCAAGGGCTTTTATTTGAACAAACTTGGAAGACACCCATTAGAAGATGTTTCATGATGTTAAGTTTTTACTATACACAAATAATGAAAAACAATGACTTTTGCCCACCTCCTCCCTCCCCCTGGCAGGGCCAATTTAACCCAAGGGCTTTTATTTGAACAAACTTGGTAGACACCCATTAGAACATGTTTCATGCTAAATATCTTAGCTCTAGCTCTTTGGGTTCTTTAAAAGAAGATTTTTAAGTTTTTACTGAAAATCAATGACCCCTGGAGCGGTGCCAATTTTGACCCCAGGGCTTTTATTTGAACAAATTTGGTAGACACCCATTAGAAGATGTGTCATGCTAAATATCTTAGCTCTAGCTCTTTGGGTTCTTTAACAGAAGATTTTAAAGTTTTTACTATATGCATATAGGGAAAATCAATGACCCCCTGGGGCAGGGCCAATTTTGACCCCAGGGCTTTTATTTGAACAAACTTGGTAGACATCCATTAGAACATGTTTCATGCCAAATATCTAAGCTCTAGCTCTTTTGTTTTTTTAGAAGAAGGTTTTTTTTTGTTTTTACTATATGCATATAGGGAAAATCAATGACCCCCTGTGGCGGGGCCAATTTTGACCCCAGGGCTTTTATTTGAACAATCTTGGTAGACACTCATTAGAAGATGTTTCATGCTTAATATCTTAGCTCTAGCTCTTTGGGTTCTTTAAAAGAAGATTTTTTAAAGTTTTTACTATATGCATATAGGGAAAATCAAAGACCCCCTGTGGCGGATCCAATTTTGACCCCAGGGCTTTTATTTGAACAAACTTGGTAGACACTGATTAGAAGATGTTTCATGCTAAATATCTTAGCTCTAGCTCTTTGGGTTCTTTAAAAGAAGATTTTTTTAAGTTTTTACTATATACATATAGGGAAAATCAATGACCCCCTGGGGCGGGGCCAATTTTGACCCCAGGGCTTTTATTTGAACACTCTTGGTAGACAGTCTCTAGAACATGTTTCATGCCAAATATTTAAGCTCTAGCTCTTTGGGTTCTTTAAGAGAAAATTTTTTAAGTTTTTACTATACGCATATAGGGAAAATCAATGACCCCCTGGGGCGTGGCCAATTTTGACCCTAGGGCTTTTATTTGAACAAACTTGGTAGACATCCATTAGAACATGTTTCATGCCAAATATCTAAGCTCTAGCTCTTTGGGTTTTTTAGAAGAAGATTTTTTAAGTTTTTACTATATGCATATAGGGAAAATCAATGACCCCCTGGGGCGAAGCCAATTTTGACCCCAGGGCTTTTGTTTGAACAATCTTGGTAGACACCCATTAGAAGATGTTTCATGCTTTATATCTAAGCACTAGCTCTTTGGGTTCTTTAAAAGAAGATTTTTTAAAGTTTTTACTATATGCATATAGGGAAAATCAATGACCCCCTGGGGCGGGGCCAATTTTGACCCCAGGGCTTTTATTTGAATAATCTTGGTAGACACTCACTAGAAGATGTTTCATGCCAAATATCTAAGCTCTAGCTCTTTGGTTTTTTTTAGAAGAAGATGTTTAAAGTTTTTTCTTTTGGTTGCCATGGCAACCAGAGTTCTGCATGGAATGGAATTCTTTGAACAACTTTGTTAAGGCTTCACACAAGGAACATCCCTGTTAAGTTTCATTATGATCTGCCTTATGGTTTCAGAGGAGATGTCGTTTGAAAAGTGTGAACGGACAACGTACGACATACGACGGACGATAGACGACTGACGAAAAGTTATCCAAATAGCTCACCCTGAGCATATGCTCAGGTGAGCTAAAAATGCAATGGGCCACAATTTACCTAAAAACAATTGATATGCACAAAAGCTGAATTTGGTTTAATCCCTATGACAAGATAAGAAGTTGATGACTACTGAAGATCATTTCTCTATATTCAGCACATAAATTTGGGGTTAAAAATCACTATTCCGCCCTGTATATTTTCTTATCACGAAACCATCTCAAAATGTATCTCACACTTGGTGGTAATACTTCTGTTAAATTAAGTTTGAAATTTCTCAGAAAGTAAAAAATCTTAAAAATACAGACGTTGCAAGCAGAATAAATTCTTTATACTCGCCTACAAATCTTTCTTACCGACATTTCCCTATGTAACAATGTGCTTTATTTTCAGAAAGCATAACAACAATCTTAAGTGTATTATATATATCATACAATACTGTTGTATCTTACTTTAGATCACTGAAATATATAATTGTCGTTTTTGGTAACTAAGGACCAAACGTAAGCCTTCATAAATAGTATCTAAATATTGTTTACCTCCTCAAACATATTCTTCTTATTGTTGAGGTTCTCATGTATTTTCCCCTGGAAGCCTTTGTAATTGAGAATAACGCTGATTATACCATTGAAGTCTGTTTCTGCTGTAGATGTTTTATCTTTATACCCATCTGGAGGCATGAAGCATTTCGCCACTTCCCAGAAACTACTACACCACTGTGAAGCATCAGTGTTTTTGTAAGATGGACCAGCGTACCTATGCGCATTCTGTATCTCAGTTGTGAAATTATGGCATATCTTGTTCGGGCAGCCGACAGGATTATACCTTGTTGCAGCATTTCGATGATAACTGCATTGTCCACGTCTAACATTACATATTCTATTTGTTGGACATTTAATAACATTTTCCGTACAGCAATTCGAACACAACGTCCCACTAAATAGTCCATTTTGGTAACATATATCATCTAAGCATTTCAATTGGAATTGTTTGATTTCATTGCAAACAAAAGGTTCAATACCTTCTTTAGTAATCAACACTGCTAACTGAGATTTAACCCAGTTATTGTATTTCTTTTCTAAAAGTTTAGGGCTATAAGAAGCCATTATTTGCAAACTTTGTGTGGCATGTCTTGTAAGCTAAGCTCTGAGGTAAATCTGAAAAAAAAATAATGATGTAAAATGCCATAGTATATTACATTACTTGCAAACTTTGTGTCTTCCAACTTAAAGAATTATATACACTGGCATGTCTTGTAAGCTTAGCTCCGAGATTAACCTGAAAAAAATAATTATGTAAAATGCTAAAGTATATAATTACACTTCAAGAGGGATCTTTCACTATCATTTAAGGTGTAATGCAATTCAATTTAATTTATATATGTATTCGGGTATTTGATATACATCATGTACTATAATTATATAGTAAATAAATACAGTTTTCATACACTTTAATATGACAGTGCTTGTTAGAATTAAATAAAAATGCAGCAATTCAATGCCTGAAAATATAGGCAGATATATCGAACTTTAAATTTCAAATTTATAATAACAGAAGATATACTGAAATGAACAATGAAAGAAAACATATATGTATCAATAAAAATCCGACATCGTTAAAATGGTCGCGAATGGAATTCAGTGTTTCAAACAGAATAAAATCGATAATGCTATTCATTCTGTTCAATGACAGTTATAAATAAGGTACACCAAATTTTGGTTTAACTTAAAATGTTCAAAAAATTATAAAAAGAGAAAAACCATGTTTCATTATAACAGGTCTGAGTTCTTCATTATCTGAACTATCTTACCAATACTCTACTCGGATTTACGTGTCCACTTCCACATTTATTCTTCTAGTTTGCATTAGAAATTCAAAATGTAATAATTTGAGAACTTAAACCACCCATTATATAATATATAATGGTACGAACGATTAATGTACACCAATCGAGTTCGGATAACAGATCAGGTATAAAATAAGTCAATAATGACGTCAATAAAGTATCGTATTTCAAGATATATGTAATAGAAAGAGCGTCGAAACACGAGACTTATATGATTTGTACAGGGGGGGGGGTGGGGGGTTGATGTGTTGTGTTTGTCAGTTACATAAATACAATACCATACATAATTATGGGGCGGCGTAATAAGGACACGGTTATTGGTAGTGCCGTGATAATCACACGCACGACTTTATAATTAATCAGTTTTATCCGAATGATAAATATTTTCTTCTAAAAATCGTCCTGCGTTTAATGGTAAACTTATTTTTGAATACTACTTTTTGAACATTTGTTTTATATTACCACGCTTCGTTAAAATCAAACGGTTGGGAGTAGTGCCGTGATCATCTGACGTATGGTCTTATATACACTACAAATAACACGAAATATATACTAGTTCATTCCAAAATGAATTCCGCATCTAATGGTATAACTTTTGTGGAAATATATTAAAAAAGTACATTTTACTAGAATTTTCATATGAGTCGTCATTTTCATCTGAATACATATAATTGTGTTGTTTTTTTCTGGTAGATATTTTATAAATAAAAAAGCAACCAGACGTTAAAAGATATTTGATTTAGTGCAGTTTGATAAAGTGCTCAAGATTATATTCTAAATCAAAGTACTGCAAGCACTGAGGTTTACATTGCTTCACCATGTTGACATTACGATCTCATCAAAATCAATAGAGGTCATCGTCTGGCTACGGTCAATGTCCCTAATAAGTTACACAAACCTAGGTTTTTTTCTTTTCAATTTATTAATGGGATAAGGACTACAGACTAGGGCTGTATTTTGCCAGTCAATTAAGATACTAGATGGTTTGCAAAACTGAAGAGCAATATAGAAATCAGTTTGCGAAACACCTGTTTACTATCTACAGTATACAATACTGAAAGAGTAAAATGGAGTCTTCAGTGTTATTTTCTATTACTATATATAAAAGTCTATAAAATGCGGAATTGAATAATCCAGCAAGACTTAAAGTTACATGCACACACACTGGAAAAAATGCACTCCATTGTTTTTACTATATACATATGAGGAAAACCTATGAGCATCTGGCGGAGCCAATTTTGACTGCCACACAAGTTAAGTTTTCATGCCAAATATCTAACGTCTGTATATTCAGAGGAGAGAGTGTTTAAGCTTTTATTATATATACATATAAGGAAAACCTGACACCCTGGGGCAACTTCACTTGTGCCAAAATTTGAACAATTTTGAAAGAGGACCTGCTGATGATATTATATACCAAGTATCTAAGCTTTAAACCTTCAGACATGAGAATCTTTAAAAAGACTTTACTATATACATGTAACAAAAACCTATATATATATATATATATATATATATATATATATATATATATATATATATATATATATATATATATATATATATATATATATAATATATATATATATATATATATATATATATATATATATATATATATGACCCCAGGGGCGATGCCAATTTTGAATCTAGTGCTAAAAATTGAATAATCTTGGTAGAGTTTCACTACACAATGTTTCATGGCAAATATCTAACCTCTAAACTTTGTCAATTCAGAGGAGAAAATTTCAAGTTTATTTTACTACATACATATAAGGAAAACCTATGATCTCCAAGATGGAGCTAATTTTGATCCCAGGGTAAAATGTAAACACTCTTGATGAAGGTCTACCAGATAATGACTTATGCAAAATATCTATGCTCTAGGTCTTACGGAATTCTTTGAAAAACTTTGGAAGCCCTTCACCCATGGAACAATCCTGCTAAGTTTGGTTGAAATTCGACAAGATGTTTTTCACAAGAAGATGTTTTAGGTTCACTATATAATCTATAAAACACCAACACACATGCGCACGCACACACACGTTTAGTTTAAATAATAGATAAATGACATACCAGCTGGATAGCTCAGTCAGTACAGCCCACATACATGTATATTATTCCCCGACATAATGCATGGGCATAGAAATCAAAGAAACATTTGAATTGATAATGACCCATTATTAAAAGTTAATTATATCAGAAGAATATCCCTTGAAAATGATATCATTTAAATATTTGATTAATTTTTGACCTATAATTATCACCACTAAATTCTAATTGGCCTGATCAAACTGAGCCTGTACAGCATTTTATAAAAACAAACAAAACCTTTAATTCAGACATTTTAACATAACTGTATTCAAAATATCTTATTTGGTTTATCTGCCAAAATAAGTCAAATACTAGTATTTATAATTTTGCTGTTCATGGCAATTTCTTTTGGGTTTCATTTTTTTCTTCATTTTTAGTATCATCTACATATTTAAAATGACCGCCTCCGTGGTCGAGGGCTTAGAGCCGATGACTTCTAATCCAGTTTCCTCTCTGGCGTGGATTCGATCCCCGGGAGATGCTTTGGTAGTTAAGCGCGGAGGAAGGTAGTCTAGTACTGGTGTAACTCTCCAGGAATGATTGGTTAGGAAACTACCCGCCTATATGACTGAAAAACTGTTGGGAAAAGGCGTAAAATGAAACAAACAATCAAACAAAAACATATTTAAAACAGTATAGCCATATAAAACACGTCATGTCCCAATTCTTTTATTTTCACCAACTTTAGATAACGAGTTCGCGAGCATCCTTTTATGTGCGTGAGGCATTTAATTTCGTAATGATATTGCTTAAATATTTCAAATGGAAACTGAAAGAGTAGAGTTGAAACTAAATTCTGTTATTTAAAGTCAATATTTATCGTCTTAAACATTGACATTATACGCATTTAAAAATATTTTAAAGGACCTAAATGATCGTGCGATACTACATCTTAGCTGATTAATACGATAACATTTTGTTACACTAAAACATTAAAGCTGTTGTGTTTGTATTATCGTCATACAGATCATTTTAAAACATATTTTCCTTGATTTACGCCTGGCAAACTGTCGCTCCACTTCAAAATTGTGGTGTACGGTAAAACGAGCGAACGGCATTTCCGAGATAGAGCGGAAGGCCGATTTAAACGGATAAATGCAAACGTTGTTTATGTTTTGTCTTGTTATTAATTTAGGTTGTATTTTTTCAAAAAACGGAAAATGTAGTTCCGTGTAGGATTGTTTTAGGCTTTCAATGATCTAAGCTGTTACAAAAACAAAATTATATTAAGCCCGGGAGAACTTTTCTCCCTGACGAAGTGAACGACGATTTGTAGAATATTGAACTTCCCAACCATTAAAATGCCATACCCTTCGGATTTCTTTAAAAATGTATTAGGAAAATATCAACCCGTAATAAGAACTTGTCCTTCGTGCAAAATGAACTACTCATGGTGGATTTCTTAAATATGATTATCGATTTTTTTCAAAAGTAGTGGAGCCAAAGGGCAAGAGATAGAGCGAAAGGTCGGTTGTTGGGCGCAATACCACATTTAGTTGGTGTAAAAAGCATAGTCTACAAAACGGGCGTGTGATTATATCTCATGCTTAAAACGGCATTTTTTAGAACAAGCAGGTAGTCAATCGTTTTTACATAATTCGGGTACGCTGAATCCATTTTTTTGCCCTACCACGGCTGTACTTGAAGTCCATGACCTTCAAAAGGTCAAATCAAAATGGCCGTCATTGTCCTTTGCCATCTACCTATAAAAATCATTATTTCTCGTACATATCGTATCGTATGTGCTTAATCTACATGTAATAAAGTTTCAATTAGTTTTAGGAATAATTGGCTGATAATTATACATGCTTTACACATTGACTGCTATGCCGGCCATCTTTGATTTCAAAATGGACACCTTTTTAATAAATATAAGTAATTAAAAGTGCTTTTAAACAAATGGATCCTTCTGTAGGAATGAGTATTAAAAATTGTAAAATGATATGAGCAACATGTCATGTCGAACTGTACACACTGTGTAGGTATACTGCACTCTTTAAATTACATCATTACTTCAAACTATCACAGGTCATTCTTTTTGGACAATTAATCTATATCAGGTATCTGAGATCCCAAATGTCTTACATAAAACCTGCACATTTTAATTTACCATTAGATGTTAAGTTTTCTTTATTTTGATAGAATAGCCTTTGTGTAAACCTTTATGGACACTAGATCATTTTATAAATTAAATGCAAAGAGTCAAGGTCAGTATGTAAATATTTTAAAAATTGCCTGTTATCTTCGCAGGTCAGCGACTATGTCTTTGAGCCCGCATGTCTTTGCAAGAATATCATTTGTACGACCCGATTTGAAATAGAAACAAAACAACAACAGA